AAGCAATGGAGGAATACAACCCCCAAGCAATACTTTGAGCCGTAACTCATTCTCTTTGCACAAAGATCCTAAAACACTAGCAGCCCGCAACTTTATCCCAAGGGATCCAGACCGAAGAAGAGATACAAGTACTGGAACTGCTTGAGAATGTGATCCAACTGCACTAAAAGCATTCTCACGGGTATTAATAAGCTCAAGCAATTGAACCAAGGAATTTTCTTTTTCTTGGGGAGCAGAGGAACTCTGCCGCATTTGCTCAATGCACTGGGCAACGCTTGCTAATGTCCCATCTGGGTCCTCCATACTACTCCGATCTCTGCAGGTAGAGAGAGAACAGAAAGTTCTTAGGTTTTGAATGTCATCAAAATTAACCAAACTTTAATCCTTGATATCAGCAAAATTGTGAAGTACAGGATTTTTACAAAGCGGTAGCTGACTGATATTAGTACTTTTTTGTCAGAGTAAAAAAAGTAATATATAATGGTTGTCGAGATAGGTTATGTTAAAGCTGAAATCACCGCAGGAATTAGCAAGTCAATAGCAGGATAGAGTTAGATTCTTAACATGATAAATGACATCTATTAATGCAAAAAAGAACAGTAAGGCAAATCATTGAGAGAAGTAGAGTTGATGTTTTTGTAATTCTATCTACTCGATTAAGCTGCCCATGTGGCGTAGTTGACACTTGCATATAGTCTCTGTTGAAGCTTAGTTACCCATCAAAATCTTGGACAATAAGGTGGAATAACAATTAGATGAAATTTTCCATCATGCAGATCTTTATTGCTAAGTTCAAGATTACAGCTTCAAAGAAAGGAAACAACGTAATAAACATGAACTTCAATATGTCATTACCTATGTTGTATAAGTTAAGTCTAGTTCAGCTGCAATCTGTGTACTATATAATTACCAAATTGGCTCATAATGTAGCCTTTTTTGTGGTCAGAAAGGAAAAAACATGCCCCATATCAGCGAGCAAGTACCAGGATGATACATGTTTGTAACAGACAATAACGATGGGTCTTGAGATATTATCAGCAAATGTAATTTAAAAAGAGTGGACGCAAAGCTTACTGCATAGCATTACATTCTATATAGCCAAAAGCTTAGTAAATCAAAACATCGGTAGTAGAATATTACTGGAATGTGTCCACTAAGGTGATATTTTGCAACAGACCTTGAATTCACTTTGGCAAGTGTGTGGGGAGTTAGGGGCTCCAAGTCTCGAGGTTTAGCATCCCCATTTCTCTCCTGCGACAATAAGATAAACTCGTGGTGAGAGAAAATACTTAGAGATACAGGCATGAGGTGGAATGCACAGGTGCACGTGAGAAAACAAATATAGAACATGAACTTCACACATTTTATACTATCTTATAATACTTTGAAGATTCTCTCAAATGACACCTATAGTACAAATAGGCAAATCACACTATTTATCCATGTTAAAGATATCTCACTGCTATTCAGGAATATTTCAATCTTTGATGAAAAAACACCAGTTAGCACTAGAGTATATAAAGCAGATGGTATTAGGCAAGAGAGGTATACACCAAACTATGTTCTGAAGAATATGTTTCTACAGTATATATTTTCTTAGAGAAGTATTAGTTCTGTACTTGACATAATCATAGAGTAATTTCAAAAATGCACGAGCAAATATTTCAGCATAATTAAAATGTTCTCTACAACAAATTCTCGCCCAGGCAAGCTTTTATTTTCAACACAGTTGTAAAGCTAAAGACAAATCTCCCTTCCCTAATCCAACTTTCTCACTATAATGTAAAAGTGAATGGATAGATTCTTGGAGCATAGTGATAATGCCTAGCAAGGTGATATAACTTCAAATCACTGGAGCACTTCTATAACGATAACGACAACTAGGCAATAATCAGATTACAAAAGGAACAATTTTTATGAGTAGGTGTCAGCAATCAATGGATGCAATCCAACTTAGATTTTCAAAAGCACAAACATGACTCTCTCAATTCTTGATTTCACATCTCGAATTGAGTAGATCTCCAAGATTTGCTTCTGATTGATATTTTATATGCATAAATAAAGAATTTACCAAGCCATTAGCGGCAGGTATGTTGCCATTATTGGCAGAAAATGTCCAAGCTAGTGTTGCCGCCATCTTTGCTGAGATCTCGAGATCTTCACTTCAGATCTGACTCTCCAACTCAACCAAGCGCTAAGAACGGCTCCCTTTTGAATGCACAAGTCAACAACAGTACAATTCAGTCCATTAAAAAAGTACGAAATTGAATAATAATAAAAATTAAGAAATTAGGCAGTTAGCACAGATCAATCCTAATCCTAATCCTAATTATGAAAATACCAATAATCTGAGTTCTAAAAACAAAATGTGATATGCCACACTACGCAGAGGTAAATCAAATGAATTGCACAGAATTCCATTTCGAATTTCAAAACCTCACTCTCACC